CCCAGTGCTCTATAGCCACACTGCCCGTTATGAGAGCTGCTAGCCATGTTTTGTTACTGAGTATTCAAAATGTACCTAGTCTGAATTGAGATGTTGTATAAATGTAGAATAAACATTGGATTTTGAAGACTTACAATAGGAAAAAGAATGTAAAATATCCTATTAATGTTTTGCTATTCATTACATGCTGAATGTATTACATTGCTATTCATTACATTCATTACATGCTGAAATGATATTTTAGATACATCAAGTTAAATAAATCATAGCATTAAAATTAAATTCACTTGTTTCTTTCTCCTTTTTCAAAATATGACTTTCAGAAATTTTAAAATTACATATATGATTTGTATTTTACTTCTATTGGACAATGCAAATCTACAGTATCAACTCAATCAAGTTTAAAAAGCGGTTTCATTATGTGCATCACCTCCAAGAGGCCAGTTTCTTCCTTCCTGAAATATTTTAAGGGTCTCCTCCTTAATTAAAATAAAAATTAGTGACATGTGGTTTAGTGTCCTCAAAGCGCTCCAAACAAGTTTATTCAAATCAGGGAAACAATTATGTTTCATCATGCGCTTTTAAAACGGCCTTTGTTCAAACAAATACTTCTTGGCAAAGTTCCAAATTTCCTGTTTTTCTCATATTGCATCACTGCCTTTAATCTTTTTTACCATTAATATTTTTAAAAGGAAACTGGAGTTAAGACAGAAGCAAAGTTATGTAATTAAGTATATAGCAAAAGCCACGGAGATATTTTTGCAGTGCAACTTGGGAAGAGAAATGAAACCAAGACAAAATATATCAGGGTCTTGAAACTGCTGCCCTCCTGCCTTTGGGGATGAGGGGTTGGGGGAGGAGCTGTCAGAGATAGTTTAGAGCTTTCCCCTGCAACTCAGATGTAGCAGGAGTGGAAATGCCCAGGGAAGAATCCAAGTTTCGTAACCTTTTATATGAAGAAATAGCGACAGCAGGCATTGATGTTTTCTCCTTGTACTTTAGATCCCCAAATGAGTTTTAAATGTACCTCAAAGTTTCTCCTCTAATAACAGCTAACATTTACTGGCACCTAGAACATGCCAAGCCTTTCACATATGTAATCCACTTAATCTTCCCAATGAAGTCAGGAAGAAACTGAGGCATAGAGATACCAAGTAATGTCAGTTAGTAGATGGAAGAGGGGGGATTGGAACCCAGCCTATGGGGACCATGGAATAGACATCAGAACTCAGCCTCTAACCACTGCACAGACTGCCTCACTTACCCAGCTCTCCCAACCGTGTTATTCTGTCTCTCCTAGGCCATGATGAATGCAAGAGTCCAGAGCTAACACTTCCATATTACCTAAAATGTGTTACCCGACTTTAACTATAAATTATGATAAATTTAGGATGTCGAAAGCTAAGTCAACCAAGGGCAATATTTTAAAAATATTGAACGTCTACAACCCTAGCAATTCATTTAGTCAGTGATCTAAAAAAGAGTGGGAATCGGTAAAAGGCAGGTTTATCTTAGATTTTATCCCAGCGGAGCATTATGAAAGAACCAAGAAATCTCTGAAGAAACTGGCTTTTGCTAAAAGGCATGACTAAAAGGTTACATGCAAATTCCATCCCTGACCCCAATGAGGAGTGCAAGTCCCCCTGCCATAATATCTTAGCATCTTTTGGTTTCCTTCATACTTAAACTTTTGTTAAGTACCTCTCAGTCTCTTTATTTGCAAAATTGGGATAAACTTACAGAGTGTAAAGTTTACAGATTACACAAAATGCTTGAAACAATCCCTAACAGAACATAGAGCAGAAGCTCAATACATGTTAGTGGGTATTATCATTTATAGCATTTCACATAATAATGTATTGCATATATTTTGAACTCTTTTTTATTCAATTTATTTTAACAAACAACTATAGAACAGTTCACCCGTTTCTTCCATCCTCCACCACTTTAACATAATAAATTATTGCATATATTTCTGGGGTCATTCAATGTTTGACTCCTCACTACTAGAATATAAGCTTCCTGACAGCAGGGACAATTAACCACTGTGGCATACATCACAACCATGAAGAATGTGCTTCCTTGCTTTCTTGAAGTCATGCATGGCCACTGACTTCCTTTAACCAGTAAAATATGAGCAGAATCGTCACTTCTGGACTTCCCTCGTGGCACACTGCTTAAGAATCCGCCTGCCAATGCAGGGGACACGGGTTCAAGCCCTGGTCCGGGAAGATCCCACATGCTGCAGAGCAACTAAGCCCGTACGCCACAACTACTGAGCCTGCGCTCTCGAGCCTGCTAGACACAACTATGGAGCCCGCATGCCACAACTACTGAAGCCTGCGCGCCTAGAGCCCATGCTCTGCGGCAAGAGGAGCCGCTGCGACGAGAAGCCTGAGCACCGCAACGAAGAGTAGCCCCTACTCGACACAGCTAGAGAAAGGCCGCGTGTAGTAACAAAGGCCCAGCGCAGCCAAAAGTAAAATTAATTAATTTTAAAAAGAAAAGAATCGTCACTTCCAGGAGGAAGACATAAATGCTGCACATAACTCTCCTCCTCCTTCTTTCCTGAGTACAGAAGCAGATTCTGATACGGAGTATAACACCGAATCCTGATGTAGAAGAAATCTACTCTGGGGAGTAGCCTGGATCCAAAGCAGACGATGATAAGCAAGAAGTAAACCTTTATTGCTTAAGCCTCTGAGACTCTGGGGTGGTTTATTACTGCAGCATAACCTACCGACCTTGACTATTACAACCTGCCTCATTCCCACAGCCTACTATAAGGTCTGGCACCTAGTAAGTGATCAAATATGTTTTCACTAAATTAATAAATCAAAAGTTTTAATTGTTAATAAAAATGAATTCTTTTAGTTAAAGAAATTATTTTCAACTCTATTCTGTATACAACAAAAAGCTTTGGAGATTTTCACTGATTCATACGTGGGAATCACAATCCTCTGGGTACAAAACTATCATCTTAGATATCAAAGCCTGTCACACATGCTTTACACTACTAAGGGACTCCATTAATGTCTGTTGAGTTTCAACTGAACAATTTTTTTTCTGTGAAGTGTTTCTGAAAATCTTTATTTCTGTCATAGGGTCACTTACTTAAATGGCCCCATCTAAAGGCACCAGTGCCTTACAGAACGTGCTTGCAAAATTCCATCTGTGTGTGGTCCCTGCCTCCATGGCAGTCACCACACAGATGCAGTAATTCTTCATCATCACATAGATTAGCCTAGAAACCAGAAGGACCTGAAGGTCAAAAGCATTAAGAGAGTTTGTTTAATAAAATAAATCTGCAGTTTCTTTGGCCAGGGAGGAGGAAAGGGGGGTTGGGCATTTGGTTGTAATATCTTTGACTTCTCATTTCAACAAGAATCAATAAATTTACCAAGACAAAAGAGAAAACATGAGCTCAGTTTAATCTGGCTGTGGAAGCGTGGCAAGCTCTACAAGTGGTGATGGTGGGATCAGGAAGAGGAACTGACATCATCACAGATAAAGTCATGAGGCCCCAGGGAGTGTGAAAATACAACTTGAGGCTCTGTCTGGTATATGAGAAAGAAGTCACAGGACAAGAAGGCTGTTCTATAGGATGGATAAACGGCAAGGTCCTACTGAACAGCACAGGGAACTATATTCAATATCCTTTAGTAAACCGTATGGAAAAGAATATGAAAATATATAGATAGATACACACACATATAAACATATATATATATATATATATATATGTATAACTGAATCACTTTGCTGTACAGCAGAAATTAACACAACATTGTAAATCAACTATACTTCAGTAAAATAAATTTAAAAAAGAAAGAAAGAAAGCTGTTCTCCAGCACTGCTAGGTCCCGAGCAAATCAGTTCTTTAAGAAGGCTCCTTAATCCCAGCTCTAGTGACTAGGGGACCACCGGGCTCATGGTAACATAGATATTGGAAGATGATCTAGCGTCTGGTCTGATAGAGGTGCAGAAAATAAGCAAGTCTAAGGTGGTGGAGAGGATTAAGTGAAGGATCAGCTTCGATCTGTGTGAACACACAGAAACCTTGGGCTTTGAAGAGAGAGTACAGTACAGGGACGACCCCAGGTCCCTAGGCAGGCATCTTATCTGTACCATTAGCTAGCTGTGTGATCTTGGGCAAGTACTTAAACCTCTCCATGCTTTCATTTTCTCCCCTGAAAATGAAGCTATCATAGTGCCCACTTCAAAGAATTGTTCTGAGAACCTGACCTGGTTAATACCTGTACAGCACAGTTGTCTAGCACACAGCAATTCTCAGGAAATGTCAGCCTTTGTTATTATGCCCTGCTACACAAACTCTTCAGTTACGGGATCCAGCCCTTACCAGCTGTGTGACCTTGAGCACATTACCTAACTTCTCTGTGCCTTAGTTTTTTTATCTTTAAAATGAAATAATAATTCTTATGTCGTAGGGTTGTTAGAAGCATCATGATACAACACCCAGTAGGGTGCCTGGCTCATAATTATCGCATGATCACTGTTACCTGACAGTACTGTTTCTTCTCTGTAAGAAGCTGAGTAGGACGGCAGACCTCCTGGCTCAGGCACCAGGAAATGCAGTGGGGTTGAATGTGTGTGAGGGTTTAATGTACACGAAGGAACGTTTGGAGAAATGAAAGAAAAGGAAAAGGTTCTCATACTTGGAAAGAAGTGTATGTTCTCTTACAGTAGTGGGGTCTTGGCTCTTCGAGGTGACACCTAAGATAGCACACGGTCACGTGTTTAAAGGTTGTTACTCCTGTAAGAAAAGCTGAGATAAATTCCTGAGGGCAGAAATCTGCTCCCACTTCTTTGCCTCCCCTTAGGTCAGCACAGTG